AACAATTTGATAAAAATTATTGAATTTTCTGGAATCACAATTCTATAAAACCTAATGTCCCGTCTATTTGCGTATTTTTAAAAATGGCTTTACCAAAAATGATTTTTTGCCGCAAAAAACAGCCTCTTCAGTTTTTTATGAAAAGCAATTTTTTTCCGAAACACGACTAAAACAAAAAATTTATTAAGGCAAAAATTACCAATTATATTGTCTGACCTATTCTACAAACTTTTCAAAAATGATAATTAATGAGAAAAAAATTTTACTAGTAAAAATTATAATATCAGATATTAACAACGGATAGTTTAAACCTTTGAATTTATATTATAATAAAACAATTAAATATAGTTTAAAACATTTTAAACTTAATGACAAAAACAACCACATGTTTATTCTATACGAACATACAAACATACAACACAAAATTGTTTTATTAATCATAAACATATTTTTAAAAAACGAATATATAGACCCGACTGATTTATTATTAGAAAACAAACAAAACTTTTGTTCGAAAGATTATTATATATAATAAAATATTTGTTTTTGTGAAACAATAATAATAAAACACAAATGTATTAATTTATTTAGATAATCGGATATAGCTCTCTTTAAATCCTTTGCTAGAAAGGTTAATAACTTGCATTCGAACACCAACAGAATGATACAAGTGATATACCAAATTTGTAATTTTTGTTAAACTAGCTAAAAGACGGTAAATACGTCGATATATTCTTTGGCTAAGACAATTATGGCAATGAATAAGACACAGCAGAGTTAATAAAACAAATCAATTTGATTAAAAAATATTGGTAATTTGATTATATGGTATGGTTTCAAAAATTATAAATTTATAATAAATAAACCATTTTAATGTTATATCAATCAGAAAATAATATATTGAAATTGAAGTGTTGTTTTTTTATTCAAAAAATACCACTTGACATGTTTGCCATATTTTTCCAAGTGCCCATTCTTATTTATTATCAAACTCTATATTACATTGGGCAGTATTCAAATCAATTTGTTTCTTCGCTAATAATACACTCTTAATATTGTGTTGGTGTTGTATGAGAACTTTAAAACCACTGATAAAAATATTAAAAATGGGTAAATTAGGACTACGATTAAAAAGGGTGTTAGTATGTTAAAAAAACATTATTAATATTTAGAATAATTATTAATAAAAACTATATATATTACTTTTAATTTATTTAAATTACTAAAAAACAATTTAAGTAAAAAATATAAATACAATTTAAAATATCAAAGCTATTCCAATTAAAAATTTATTATACACAAAGTTAACACTGTATAATGTAGAGTTTATTTGTAAGTCTTTTATAACACACTTACATTAAATTATTAATGTTTTTTCATTTCATTGAATATATCACATTCGTTATCAAACTAAACTGTGTTTACTTGGTGGACTTTACGAGTTATGCTAATACTCCAAAATATTCGAGATATTTAATACCAACAACACCATGTTAATTATTGTTACATTAGACTTTGTGAGTATCAGTATTTAATTTCCAAAATGTTTTCAACCATTGACATTGGCGCAACATTTTGTCTGAAATTTGTTTGTAGTTTTTTTGCACACTTGAAGAAACATTCTCGAGCTTCAAAATGATTACCTAATTCATTTTAAAAAACTCTTAAAATATTTCTAATATTTTGACTATCTGTAAGTCCATTCTATCATCAAAATGAAGTGCCATTTTAAATGGTAACATTGTTATTCAAATCTCTATGCACTCATTAATTGAAAAATGTTGTGTGTCAGACAATGGCATTGTATCAAAATTTTCATTGATATCAATGAAATAACTCGATAACATGGAATATCCAAATGGTGTGTTGGTGCCCACAAATTTGATGACTAGCAAAACGTCAACAAGTCAAAAAAAAAAATTACAACTTTTTGTATTGTTTCAAATCATCGTGCAATTTCAGACATAATATGTACTTGACTTTACTTGACCTGACAATTGTTAACTTGTGTGGACGTTGATTTGAAGTGATGATGTTGAAGACCATGTAAAATTTTCAAATTGTGTAATACTGTTTATGTATTCTGCTTTGTACGTCTTGTGTACTACAACTTTTGAATATCATAATTCCATTGTTATAATGGAAACTTGTAGAAACTCCAAGATGGAGACTGAATTGATTACTATGTTACTTTGTTTGTAGATTTTAAATTGTATTATTTTAGCATCTTTGATCTCAGTGTCATTGTTTATCACCATCTCATTCTTCGTTTGAAAGCAAAAAGAAAATAGTATTCATTTTAATTATTTTTATACAATTGAAAAGGACTTATCATTCTGTTTCGACTATTTTCAAAATGTTCTTAATGTGGTTGTGATACCAATAACATCACGTCGAAGTTGTGGTTAATACAAAACTCTGTTTCCTCTTCTAATGATAAGACTTGTGCCATAAAACGGCAACTCGGATCAATTCAATTCCAAGTAAAAGTGATTGCTTAACCAAAAGCCCAGAATCCTCTCTAATGTTGTCAGTGAAGAACAATGATGTTTTAAGAAGTTCATATGGATCTGAATATGTTACTTGAATTATATTTTACTCATATAGAAAAATACTCTTAGATGCTAATTGCCAATGAAAGTCAATATATATTATATATTATAACATGTTAAGCAGACGACTTTAACAAAATACTCACAAAGATTTGTAAAATAAGAACATGTTGATTGTCACTTGTAGGTGTGTGGATATCATAGAATATTCTTTTAAAATACAAAGTAAAATGAATACATAAACTACTACAACTTCATGTATTAAATGAAACCTTCAGCCATCTTAAGGTGTTTGGGAAGGTTTGTAATTATCTCGTTAATATAAACAAGTTTACAACAACTTAAATAACAATGTTAAGGAATTTTCCAAAAGTCTACTTTGTATTGCCAACTTTGTTATATATTAATTGGACCACTTTAAAAAACATATAAGCTCAACTTTGTTAACAAAAATGTTTTGTTTGTTGTATTGTACTACTACTAATAATAATAATATAAGATATGTTGTTTGTTTCGTAATAAAACAAAATACTTTTTATTTTCAATATAAGTTTTATTCTCCTTATTAATATCTCCTTGAAAGATTTATTTAAAGATTTACAATCATTCATTTGAATATACAAATTTTTAAAGTGATAGTTTGTTGAGGATAATTGTTCTGATGTCTCGGTATTTTGTTTTTTTTCAAATTTAATTTAAATAACTAACTTTAAAACTAAAATTGATTTCATTATGATTCATCAATGAAAATACATAAAGCAATTTTTGGAAACATCATTATCAATCGAGTTGCCAACGTAGTGATCCAACACAATCAATTGTACTTGATCAAACATTAACTTTTTGTTTTTTGAGCTTAAGTTGAGTATTTTCACTAACTTCTGCCATATCAAAAACACTTTGAGTTCACCTTATGTTCTTCAATGGATTTTTCAGTTTAATTTTATATATTATTTGTACACTCATTAATCAAATATAAAACTATCTAAAGTTTTGAAACATTTACAACATAACAAGAGTCAAATTAACTTTGTTGTAGAACTTTTTAAAAGGTTAAAAATTTCCTTGCAAAAAGCAACTCCTAACTTTTTATTGGAAATATTTGATTGCTTGAATTGTCATTTTTATCAAATTATCTTATTAAATTATATTTATAGAAAACTTGGGGTACTTGTTATGGCTGTACAAACTAAAGGTTTATTTTCTTTCACTCCTATTTCAAAATAATTTTTCATATAAAAATTATACAATTATTATTATTAATTGTTTAATTATTATGTATAATTTATTGTTATTCAAATTATTAATTACTATAAATTAAGTATATGTAATAAATAAAAACAATAAATGACTAAATATTAATTAAAAATTGTAATAAATATCTTTTTGTATTAATTATTTAATTATTTAATATTATATTTAAATTATTCTATCATTAATTTGTGTTTTATTTATAGAACATTAAGGAGTCCTTGTCATTGCTGTACAAAATTCAAGCTAATTTTTTCTTACTTAAAAAAATTGAATAAATTTCCACAATTACATATATCTACTTTATTTATTAATTAAAAACTACTATTTTTTGACTTTATATCACTTAATTCTATTATATTAACTTATTATTATCTTTATTATTTGATGACGTGGTATATACTCACCATTTTACACAATCTTACATTTAGGTAATCTCTGTTCCCAGGAAGTGGGTGGGGGAGGGGGGCCGGCTTTAGGAGCCTCCACGTATACTTTGCGATAAATTGAAGAAATTGATTAAATCAATTTCGTTAAGTTATTTAATTGATTTATTCAATTATTTTTAATTTTTTAATAAAAATAAATATAAAAAATGAAATATCATTAAATTATCTCATTCGCTTCGATGAACTAATGTGTTTGATGGGAAAGAATCTTTACCAATATATTTGACACTTGATGGTATTGTAACACTGCTTAAACTACTGCATCTATAAAAACATCTATAACCAATTGATGTCACACTTGATGGTATTGTAACACTACTCAAACTACTGCATCCACTGAAACACCAATCATTAATTAATCTCACACTTGATGGTATTGTAATAACAATCAAACTACTGCATTCATAAAAACAATAACCACCAATTGATCTTATACTTGATGGTATTGTAATACTGCTTAAACTACTGCATTTACAGAAACAACTACCACCAATTGATCTCACACTTGATGGTATTGTAATACTCCTCAGACTACTGCATCCACTGAAACAACAATAACCAATTGATGTGACACTTGATGGTATTGTAACACTACCCAAATTACTGCATCCACTGAAACAACCTTCACCAATTGAACTAACACTCGATGGTATTGTAACACTTGTCAAACTACCGCAAAAACTGAAACATTTATCACCAATAGATGTCACACTTGATGGTATGTTGTTACCAAATTTCTTTCTATCAATTTGAGTGTAAGTGACATTTTTAAACTCAATGTTTCGATTTTTGTTTCTGTCAACAATTACAAAGTTAACACTGAACCACACGATGATTCGATAGAACTTATTCTTTAAAACATTTTTATTTTCCATATCTCCATTTTCTCTTCTGTTGATCATAAATTCATTGCCAAAGTTCTCATCCTTTTTATTCCACAAGTGAAGTGTCTCGATGTTTGGAAAGTATCCAAGTGTTTTGGAATTTAACGGAATCGGGTTGAAGTGGAACTTCTCCATATTACCACCAAACTTCTTGCATACCAACTCCAAGTTAATAAAGTTTCCAAAGTCGTCGAAGTACTTCGAGACTATCATGATGTGATAACCAGAAAGTCCACGCATTTTGATATTCTCAGTTTTTTAGTCTTTCAATATTTAAAAATTCTTTTTGTAAACATTTTTAAGGAATTATTGAATTATAGTCATTCAACATAACTAACTATTAAGGAAATATCGTAAAATATACTATTATTAAACAAAAAAAATTAATAAATTTTATATAATACATTATTTAAAGATTTAAAATTGTTTAGAAAATATAAAAAACAATTCACACTGAATGTTATTAATTGTGTTTGTTTTAAAACAATTCAATATAACTTTTGTTCTTAACCAAAATATTATTAAAATGACAATTAATAAATTATTAAAATTCAATCAAAACCAGACCAAATATTTTTTATTTTAAAGACCTGTGAAATACATTCACGAGTCTACATTAGATTTTTAAAATAATAACAAGAAATATACAATTTGTACGTTAAATTTTAACTTTGTCACAAAAACAAAAATTGTACTTTTTGACAATTAAAATCCATAACCAATTTCATCAATTACCCATGAAAATGGTTGATTGGAATTAAAAAAAAATGATGAATTTATACTTTTTTCAAAACTGTTGTGTTAACTTGTTTTGTAATATAATAACTAAAATATATAAAGTTGATATTTCTCACAATAATTAAAATATTTGAATAATAAACTTTTGATTGAAAGTTTTGTTAATAGAAATGAGTTGTAAACTTGTAGGACATAGATCACTCTTCGGACAATGGTTTGAAGAATGATAAATAAAAATTTTTACCATCATGCCAACCGTATGAATATGATATTAGATTACTATTTACTAAAAAGAACTCAACATAAATTTAGAACCAATATAAATAATATAATCTGGTTTACTTATCTATTTATTTTTAACTTTATTTAGAATAAAAAATAGAAAAATTGAAGTTTCAAGACAAATTTAAAACAAAATACAACAGTTATTACTAACTCTCATACATATAACACAAACGATGAACACTCAAACTGTATAACTTAATGATGATATTAATAAACTTCAATACTCTAAAAACCCTCAATGTTTTTAAACAAATTATTAAATAACAATCAAATAATAGTTACACAAACCAAATTCGTCAGTCCCTTGTGATTTGTTACTTGACAATTAATTACATTGAAATTGATAAATAAATAATACATGTAAAAACTTGAAAATATTAATAACTCTCAAATATTTCTCTCGAAAAAAAAACAACTTCTTTGCTTTTTTTTATTGCTTTTTATTATATTTTGACATGTAGCCACTTCAATCAAAAATTGGTTATCACAAACTACTTGACACGCATCAACAAAACACAGAAAATAACTCTTTTAAAATATCAATTGAATTTGTTGTAATAAATTAAGCTTTTGAATCTGTAACTTTAGCTCCAAGTCATTGACTTTCTTAACTCATGTTTTATTGTTCTTTTATTCCCGAGTTTTTTTTCTGTAAATCAACCTTTTGAGCGGTCAACAAGTTAACAAACTTCTCAACTTGTTCCTTATATTACCAAATACTATTTCATTTACAATCACTTTTTGGAGTTTATCTGCACGTTTTTTTGTCTGATTGTTCTTTTTGTTAATTGAAGATTATAATTTCAGAATTAAAATATAGCGAGATACAGATTTTTAGTTTGTTGAACTATTCGTATAGTTTTCTGTTTTTAACTCATTAATCTTTTGTGTATTTTATATCTAGTAGTATATAAATTACGTTACATTAGGGGGCACCCATTTTATCTATATTTTATCATAATTTAATTAAATCGCGAGTGACAGAGTTTCCAAAACCTGAAGGGGTGAAGCCCCAACTTGGAGATCTGAATTTTTCCCAAAATTCGGAATTAAAGAGTTCCAAAATTTAAAATATGATTTTTAATTTTTCATTTTTTTTTTAATTTTCCCTAAAATGAGCACCACACAAGAATACAGATTAAATAATTTTTACTCCAATTTTTTTATATTCAATTATAATTTTGTGTTATAATATATTTGTTTCATATACAGTTTTGTGTTATTTAATACAGATTAAAAAAACATTCGCAAAATGAAAATTTTATTTTGATTTTGTAAAAGGGGTGGAAAAAACCGCTTCAGGAAAAAAACCACTTTTGATAATTTTTGGTGAATAATGGTAAAATGTTTTCCAAATGTTATTTTATTTTATTTTTTTTATTTAAACAAAAAGAAAAAAACATCATTTTCATTTTGCCAAAGCATTTTTTCGAAGTGTTTAGAAGAAGGCTGTTAAAGTCTATTTATATTACGGTGAAAAGCTGAGTTATTACAGAATTTATTTGAAAGAAAACGGGAAACAGCTTACAATCGCAAGACATATAACCAAATATACATAAATTTTTAATTAATTTTTATTATAATATATTAGTGTAGTAAACGCAGTGTTTGTAAGTCTTATATCGTTTGAATTAACAAACCAAATTATCATCTTTGCAGAATGTATCATCATTTTTCTTATTTTCAGAGTAATTTAAATCAAGTCTTTTTGTTATTGTTGTTTTTGTGCTTTATTTTGTCTTCATAAACACATGAGTTCAAGTCTAAGTCGTCACTGTCGTGGTTTTGATGATGTTAAACATAATAAACAAACTGTTTGACCTTGCAATGAACGAGATAATTTGATATTGTCACTTTTGGAGATCTCCTTATAAACCCTTATAATTGGTAAAAAAAAGAACTTACATTTTTTTTCTAGATTATGTTTGCAATAAAACAATACCAACTATGTAAATTTTGATTATTAGTAAAGTTGGCGCATGATATAATTATTTTGCTTGGATATTGTCAAATGAAAAATAATTTTGTTTTTAAATGTTTAATCTATTGTTAATACATGGATTTTATTATAATTAATGACATTGCGAAAGATAAAAATGGAATTGTATTAAATAATATATTAACTATTCATTATTATTTTTTAACCATTTCTAAATTTAAAATCGTATTTTTGAAAAATTAGTACAAATAGATGAAAAACCAGGGACCAGACTAATTTTAGCTATTGAATATTAAGCGGATTTTATACAACAAAACGGGAAAATATATAAATGAATCAGGGTCGGCCAAACGATCATGTTATTGAAAAAAAAACTTAAAAAACATTAAAATGGTAAATAACATTATCATTTTTGAAAAACAAAGAATAAATGACAAAACACAATTATTTATACCATATGATAAAATAAAAAAAAATATAAAACAATAATTTATATAAAACAAGATGTTGTTTTTAATTTTCTTCAAAATACAACAACATTAATATATCTTTGTGTTAATATAATTGTACATTAAAACTATTCAATTGTATATTTTACATGTAAATGAAACAAATATAAAACTGCACTAATATATATATATATATATATATATATATATATATATATATATATATTCGTTTTTAATTCAACAAGTAATTATTATGTTAATGGATTATTATCATATTTTGAATAATCGTTTTCATTTATAAGATAACCAAAAGATAAGTTTTACTGTTTTTTCAAAGTAATATGGTTTATTTTATTCAAAAAATACATTGTTTGTTTTGTATAATTGCAAATGTTAATAAAAATACAAAATAATACAATTTGATTGATTCATTGACACTTTATTTTAAAAGGGACATAAATGAACAATTCAATTTTTTTTAGTAATTTATATTCATGTACGTTTTGAAAAATTATAAATCAATTGTAAAAAAAATAAATTTTATGTCAAAATCACTCAAATTATTTATAATAATTTTTGTTATTTGGAATTATCTTCTGTCTCTCTAAGTATTATAATCGGTGAATATTGTTATTTAATTCAAATAACTTTGTAGCTGAATATTTCACATGTTTTAAACTTTTCAATCATTGTTCTTAAAAACTAAATTTTTACACAATATAATGATAATTTAATCAAGTTAAAATTTGTTTAAATCGTTAAAAATAGTTTAAACAATTTTTAAAAACATTTTTACACAAAAAACTTTTTGAATTATTTGTTGAAAATATGCTAAAACTTAAAATGAACTGACACGTTTTAGAGATTGCCACGAAGTTGTTTAAAAACTGGATCTTGGCCGACCCTGAATGAATGTGTAATTTTCTAATTATTTGGTCTTTAAAACGGTTATTTTTCGGGATGAAAAAAACGAATGTGTTGTATAAAGTATGAATGAACAACAGCTTAGTGTGAGTCATAATAGTAAGTTTATTATTATATATTATTATTTAATTATAAAATGTTATTCTTTTTCAACCTTGTTTAACTTCAACACAACCATTCAATTAAATCGTTCATTCATTTTTTAAAGATAACAATGAATTCTTCTTTATTCACTTGGTTGATTTAATGAGTCACTTTTCGTTCAGTATTAAAAGTAACTCATGCAATAAATGAAAATAAAGAAAATAATAAATAAATTATTGGAATTTTAGACATTCAGTATATGATTGATGATTATTAAAAGTATTCAACAATAAGAGATAAATCAATATAAAAAACAAACACTACTTTGGCTCGGCTGGGAATTAACAATAAAGGCAGCTTCAATTGATTAATTAAGAGTTTCATATTTTATAGTTTTTTCTATTTTATTTAAAAAAACAGAGTGTCTATTAATACTTGGTCCCTGGTTTTTGAAAATAAACCAACATATCCTCCAAAAAACCTGATTATTTAGGGATTTTTCCATAACAAGAAAAATTTATAACTAAAATAAAACGGCTTAATTTAGTCTGGTCCCTGGTTTTTCCTCTATATGTATAATGGGTCCATAAAGTGGTCAGAATCCATAAACCCATCAAAGAAATTGGTAGAACTTCTTTTAAAACCAAATGTATAGCATAATTTTCTTTATTTATTTTTTATTATTTTTGTTGATAACCCTTGATATTTTGATTTTTTGTGACTTAATGGGACAAGCAATAAAAATTCAATAATCAAAACAATCTTTGATTTAAAAAACAACCAATAAAACAGAAGAAAAAATTACTAACCAATTTTGGAATGTTTTCATTTGAAATTGAAATTCAACAAATATTTTGTCTTTTTATAACCAGTCATTGTGTGACGGGTCAATTACAATTCTTAACGGACGTTTTTTATTACAACAAGGATAAAACTGGATCAACATTTTTTTATTGATAAAAATTTGTTTAATCATAATGGCGAAATACAACAGTAAATTAAAAAAAATAGTGTGTTATAATTTTATTAACATTGTAGCGTGCACAAATCTATATTACTATCTTATCGTGAAACTGTTTAATATAAGATAAGTTGTTAGGTGCGGGTGTAAAAATGACTTCTTGTTGAGAAAAATAATCATCTTTTTCGTTTTAAAATTCAACCCACATGTGTACCAAAATAAGAATGAAAACGTTCTCTTATTCAAAGTTTGATTCCTTAAAATGATTGTGTCGAGAAACAACAACTTATATTGGTCTATCACTCTTTTTCAATTTTATTTAGAAAAATAATAAAAAATGTATTATAAATATTTAATTATAATAATTAAAAATATAATACAAAAAAGAATAATGACAATAATAAAATGGTGTTGATAAGCTTGATTCTTTAAAATTAAAGATCACATATACCACATCATGGTATCACATTTTTATGCCCAATAAAAATCCATACCATGACACCTGAATTAAACTTTGGTATAGGAACTGAGTCCTTATCAGTGAATCCCCCCGTTCGTCTCCAAATGTAGTGCCCATAGGAATAAATGTAAAACTGGCTCTCGTCAGAGATAATAGTGTTGTTAATCCAGCGTGCCAATAACCTTTTATTGTTAAAATATCGAGAACAAAATTGAAGTCTATCTTAAATGTGTTTTGTAGTCATGTTTAGTCTCTTTATCAATTTTATCAGGAAAAAACAAAAAGTTTTTTCCTGATTTTCCAAAAAGAAGAAAGAGGCATATCTTGGGAAATGTATAATGAAGAAGAACGCGGATCAGATAATGTTATTTTTAAGACCAAGATTTTACTTTATCTGGCGACACCTTGAGTGGTTGACCAATCTTCTTTGGTTTTTGCTCCTTCTTTTCAACTACGTAACGGTACTTCGAGACACTCCAGCAAACTTACATACTTTAGTATAATAATATTTTTCATCAAGAAGTTCCTTGGCTCTAAGCATCTTCTTTTCCTTTTTAGCATTGTAAAGTGATCCCTCTGTGGCATTTGGCATCTTTAATTTGAATAATTTTTATTATTTTGTTTTTTAATGCACTTCTAGGAAAAAAGTCTTATTCTTGGGAATCAAAAAATCCCTCTATTTTTAAAAAAAGAAATTTTTAAAATTTAAACAGAAATCGCCAAGTTAAAAAATAAATTTAAAACCCGTTCTTCTTTTTTTACTTGAAAAAACTCTTAATTTTTTTTTAATTTTCAACTTCTTAAAAATAAAAATGAAAAAAAATATTTGGAAATTCCATTAGAGACTTTTGAAAACAAATTTATAATTTTTTTTACTTGTTAATTATAAATATGAAAAGATTATACCCACATGAATAAACATTTTCTATAAACAAAGTTTTTAACACCAATTTAAATAGAAAATGTTCGACATTTTATAATTGAACATATTTTTATTTCCCGCAATTTAACGGTGTTTTGGGGCAATAAAATTTTGGAGAAAAAACAAAACTGTCTTAAAAAAAATAAAAATAACATTGGTTTCAATTGATTAGACAATTTTGTAAAGTTTCGGTTTTTGGAGGGTTAAAATAAATGGTCGTGTTTAATTTGTGCACATTTATTACAACGGTAAGAAGCCCTAATCATTAGGATTTTTTACTAAAGGTTTGGATTCATTTCTAAGGTACTGGGTCCATTTTCTTTATTGTAAATGTAATAAAATAATAATTATAAAAATAATAAACTTAATTACAAAAAAATATTATAAAACAATAAGTCAAGCATATAACTCCCCCAACTGTTAATAGAAAAAAGACTTTTATAAGAATAAATAATTACCCACTTTACATTCATTATAATATGAACATTATAATAATTTAAAAATAATTTTATACAACAATAATAACATTTTATTCATTACACAGTGAGTTGTGTAAAATATGATATATTGTATCAAAAATTAATTTATAAATATTAATTTGAAATTATGTTAATAAATTAAATTGATCAAAAAGTGTAGTTTTTTTATTATGAATATAACAATAATCTAGTAGTTTGTTTGATGTATATAAAAGAAGTTATCAACTTTAAAATAATATTTAAATGGAAAAAGAGTATGAAAGAAGTTCATCTAATGAATAAACTGACAACACTTCAGAAAATAACGAGCATGGAAGTTCAAAAGATAGTGAAGAAGATTGGGAAATGCAACAAATTTCAGAAATTATAATTAAAAAAGAAGATGTTGAAGATTATATTTTTGGTTCACACAACAATTCCATTAATAGTTATGAAGAACAAGAACAACCATTAAATGATAATGAAGTTTCTGTCGATATGACAACTGTTTTGATTCCACCAGAAGCAAAAACGATTGACAAATGGGCTTTTAGAAATTACACATTTGAGTCATTAATAATCCCAAATCATATTCAGTCAATTGAAGAATATGCTTTTAATGATTGTACGAACTTAAAAAGTGTTGTTATTCCAGACTCTGTGACTTCGATTGGAAAAAATGCATTTGATGGGTGTCCACTCACTTCCATTGTTCTTTCAAAAAATTTAACTTCGTTATCTAATGGAGTATTTTGTGGAAACCAATTGGTTTCTTTTACTATTCCTGATACCATTCTGAGTCTTGGGACAAATGTATTTTACTCAAATAACTTTCTTTCTCGAGATATTATTATTGGATCACAAAATCTAAACATTAACGGATTAACATCAATTGAAATGTCTGATAACGTTACCCGAATTGGGCCAAATGCTTTTAGTTTATTAGACAAACTAATTCACATCAAATTGTCAAGTAAATTAACAGAGCTTCCCGATTGCACGTTCATTGACGACCAAAGTTTACAATGTGTTGATATTCCAAATTGTGTTACTAAAATTGGACAGAGATGTTTTGAAAATTGTCCTCTTGATAAAAACAAAGTGTTTATATTACACAAAAACATTGAAATAATTGATAAAAACGCTTTTAATAATTGCAAATTTAAAGAAGTTGTTATTGAAGGAAAGATCAAAGAAATTTCAGATAATACATTTACAAACTGTTTATCTCTTTCTAAAATTACTCTTCCCGAAACGGTGACAAAATTTGGGGACTACTCATTTGAAAATTGTGGGTTTGATCAAGTCTTTTTTATGAAAAATTTAAAAGAATTTGGGTTTGGAGTCTTTTCTAATAACAAAAAAATTAGTGAACTTGTTTGGGATGAGAATTTTAGACAAATTCCAGACAGTTTTGTAAAAGGCTGTGTAAATATCACCAAAATAGTTATATCAAGTACAGTCACTGCAATTGGACAATGTGCATTTTATAATTGTAAATCGCTTATAAGACTTGAGTTTCCGAATTCGGTTGTTAAATTTGGAAATTATGTTTGTAAGAATTGTGAGCATTTAAAAAATGTCACGCTTTTAATTGGAACAACTAAAATCAAACAAGGAATGTTCTTATTGTGCCAAATTAAGTAAAATCAGAAATATTGAAAATATCACAGAAGTCGAGCAAAAAGGTTTCAATAGAACAAGTAGTCTCTTTGCACATGGAATTCCAAATACATTAAAGAAAATTGGTTCTCAAGTTTTTTCTAGTTGCGGCATTAAACAATTTGTTTTTCCAAATATAGAAATATATGACCATGCTTTTTCTGGCAACTCCAAACTAACAAAAGTAGTTTTTTCAGAAGGGGTAAAAACACTACCAAATGGTTGTTTTAATGAATGCCCAAATCTTAAAATTGTTGAAATACCAAACAGTGTTGAATCGATTGGAGATGAATGTTTCAGTAAATGTTCAAGTCTTGAAGAAATTACAATTCCAAACGATGTCAAAACTCTTGGAAATTATTGCTTCAATGACTGTAAGAACTTGAAAAGTGTTATTAAAAACGAGAAATTAATTTATGATCGAAACGTGTTTTCTGAATGTTTAAAACTGACAACCGAAAAAGTTGTTAAAAAAGAAAATCTAATTATTGGGACTGTTGCCGACATTCCATTTGGATTTAGAGCAATTGAAAACAGTGCATTTGAAGACAATAATAAATTAGAAGAAGTTATAATGCCAGACACAATTAATTACCTTGGAGAAAATTGTTTTAAAAACTGCACTAAATTAACAAAAGTTGTTATTTCTAAAAACCTAAAAAAATTGAATGTCGAGGATTTTGCGGGGGGTGTTAGTCTTAAGGAAATTGTACTTCCAGACGACCTAAAAACTATTGAAAAGGCTGTTTTTGTGGATGTATTAATCTCTCGAAAATAGTTATACCAAGCGAAGTTGATACACTCAAACAACGCGTTTTTGAGAATTGTGAAAAGCTTGAAATTGTTGTCCTTCCAGATAATTTGAACGACATAAAAGATTCGGCGTTTACTAACTGCAAAAGTTTGAAAGAATTGGTTTTTCCTCTACATCTAAAATTTGTTGGAAAAAAGTGTTTCCAAAAATGTGAAAAACTCGAAAGGGTTGTGTTTAATAAAGAATTGTATTCAATGGGGAATCTCATGTTTGGTGGTTGTATTAGTTTGAAAGAGGTTGTTATTGATAACATCGATGTTCCGTTTAGATGTTTTGATGGATGCACTAATCTTGAAAAGGTAGAATTTAAAATCAATGTTAAAGTCTTGAATAAATGGTGTTTCAGAAATTGCAAAGCGTTAAAAGAAATCACATTACCAAAGACTTTAAAGTTTGTTGACGAACAGAATGTTTTCGTGGGATGTGATAATTTAGAAAAAATCATATACTCTGAAAACAGTTAAAAAAGTTGATAATTATGAATATTTGTAAAAATATCCAATTTAAAAAATAAACAATAATTATTTTTAAATATAATAAAAATTAGTTGTTTTTAAAACTAAAAATGTTTTAATAATTAAAAATCTTAATATATTTTTGCCATTATTTTGTTATCATAATAAAAAGGCGATAAAATTAACATTGACCATCATCAGCTATTTAAACAGACTTTTTTTACAAATAGTTTTTGAAATATATAAAATAATTAAAAAATTAAAAATGGAAAATATTGAATTTGATCCATGATCATAAGAATTCCGAACAATCATTTAAATCAGTGGAAATTAAATGTAATAAGGAGCATTAAAAAGAGCAGTCAAAAATATGCATTTGTATGGCTCATTTGTGTATATATTCAAGCCAATTTTCATAATTTCTTTAACTCATATTTTGACCCTTAACAAGCGTAGAAACGGTCTTTAATTCTACCAAACACCAACAAAAAGTGAATGACTTTTCTTTATTAATGCACAAACAATAGATGAAAGGTGGACCATTTCTTAAAAAACAAAATCAGCTAATACTTTGTTTTCAAAAATGTTGTAATAGTTAATGCAAATTTCTTATCCATCAACAAATAAATTATTTAAAACATAAAACTAAGTAGTGCTGAATTACTTAATGAACTTTGCTGATGATCTGGATGAGATCAACGAGTCTTGTGGAATATCCCCATTCATTATCGTACCATGCAATGAGTTTGCAGAAGTGTGGGTTCAAGATAATGGTAGCAGCAGCATCAAAGATAGAGCTTCTGTCGTCATGAATAATGTCTGATGAGACGACCAAGTCGTGTGTAATACCCATAATTCCCTTAAGTTCACCTTCAGCGTATTTGGTGATAGCAGCGTTGATATTTTCGATTGTAACCTCCTTCTCAGTTCTGACAGTCAAATCGACACATGAGACGTCTGGAGTTCCAACTCTGAATGACATACCAGTGAGCTTTCCGTTTAATGATGGGATGACTTTTCCGACAGCCTTGGCAGCACCAGTAGTAGCTGGAATGATGTTACAAGCCGCGCATCTGCCAGCTCTCCAGTCCTTTCCGGATGGACCATCGACTGTCTTTTGAGTGGCAGTAGTGGAGTGAATGGTGGTCATCAGTGCTTCAATGATACCAAACTCGTTGTTGATGATCTTGGCAAGTGGAGCAAGGCAGTTGGTAGTGCACGAGGCATTGGACAAAACGTTCATCTCTGGTTTGTAGGCTTCAGTGTTGACACCAACAACAAACATTGGGGCATCAGCGGATGGTGCGGAGATGATGACCTTCTTGGCACCTCCCTTAAGGTGAGCTTCGCATTTTGGGATTGTGGTGAACACACCAGTGGATTCAACAACATAGTCTACACCGAGTTTTCCCCATCCAATTTGAGCCGGGTCTTTTTCAGCTACAACGATAATTTTGTGCCCATTAATGGATAAGTTGCCTCCTTCAACAGCGATGGTGCCTGGGAACTTTCCATGGACAGTATCATACTTGAGCATGTATTCCATGTACTTTGGGTCCATGAATGGGTCGTTCAAAGCAACCAAGTCGAACTCGGGGCGGGTAAGAATCACTCTTGCAACCAACCTTCCAATTCTTCCAAAACCATTGATTCCTACTTTAATTGCCATTTAACTGATGTTTAAAAAGATATATCACAGCATTTAAATTGATTACACACGTGGTAATAAGTATATATTGTGTAACTTATTTTTAGTGTTTATAATAATATTTAATTTAACACACAAATTTATTGAAAAAAAAACACAAAACGGCAAACACATCGTGATAAATCTTAAAGTTATTGTTTATTAAGAATTAAAATTTTTATTCGAATACTAATATTTTATGAATAATCGTTTTTTGGAATAATTTTTGTTTAAAAAAATAGAACTTCAATCAAAGTAAATTGTGTAATTTATTATAAAGAGTTGTAATAAGTATAAAAAATTTGTGTACAAACTATCAATTTATTATTTTAATTCAATATTGCTTATTATATTATTTAAATATGTAATATATTATTTATATATGTAATAAAACATTTTCAAAAACGTTTTAAAAATAAACTACACAATAAAAAATATCACAAAAGATTTTAAATTTAACAAACTAAATAATTAACTTGATGTCATCTTCACAAATTATTAGATATAACACTTTTGAATAATTATATTTTTCGTTGTAAAATAAAATGAAACGAAAAAGTTGATTAATCAATCAACTTTGAATGAATTAAATCATCTTTTCTATACAACAAATTAAATTTATAGTTAATATTTAATCATATTAAATTAATTTGAGTATTTGAAGATAAAAATTGAGTTGATCTAGTTTATTATAATATATATGATAATGAATTGAAATAATGTTTCTAAAAAAACAAAAAAATAATTATTAAACATAACAGAAATTTTATTTGTTGTCAACCAAAGTTATTATATGTTAACATGATGAATTAATTCAATTATGTTAAATAATTGTTTATAACTGAACAGAAGACGATTATGGATATAATATTTTCGCTTTAAACACAACAAATCTTTAAATGTGCCGATTTTTTAAAGTGATTGTTCGGTAATAAGTTACTTACAAAAAAACGTTTTACATCTTCAAAAACTTTTATCACATAGTTTTTTTTAAAAAAACGGTGTTTATCAATTAATATATTTGAACTGTATTGTTATTAGTACGACCATTCAAGCCATATATAAACTGTTTTTAAATGCACCAATAGCAAAAATATGACACGAACAACACAGATAAAATAATAAATACAATACTTTTGTAAAAGCATATAAAACCCATCGCATTTAACATAAACTATATGGAACATTTTACAAATAATAATTTTTATCACCATTGTCACTTATTGACACTGCGATTAATTTGATTGCATTTTTTTGCGTTGATGACCAATTCTATATAAAACACATCGTTAAAACCTTGAGCTTATTAAAGAAATAGGATTTGATAAAAATAATTTATTATTTTTACATTTTTAGAAAATACAATTGAATGCCAAATACTCATTAAAATACGAATTTTTATTCGAGATATCATTATATAATAATTATATCATCATCGACATAAATCTACAAAAATTAATCATTAAAATTTGTTCATCTTTGGGAAAAAGCTAAATACAAATAAAAAGTGATTTCTTGTCATTAAATAATTATTTAATTTATTGTTTAAAATTAAAAAAATTAAATTAAAATAAATTTATCTTACAAGGTAATTATTTAGCCTTTTTTGAAATACTTTTTAAAATATTCTATTATTAATTGTTATAATGATATATCCGAATTTGTGAATATTAGAGTAATTTATCATAAAGAAAATTATTACTTTCGACAAAATAACCAATTACTTTGAACGTTGTATTTACAAAAGGTGTATTTATAACAACAATGAAGAATATAAATGATATGACCTTAAAAACACCGTTTTTATATCATTATTGTGTTTCTTTTTGAAAAATTAACTTTTCAAAGCACAAATTATCATATCAAACAACACAAATTAAGTTTATGGCAAATCAAAAATACCTTTTATTAATCCGATATATAAACTTTATGAAAACGTTCATTTACTATTTAAACTCGAATAATAAAACATTAAGCATCAAATGATTCCCATCTTTCTTGTTGTGTTAGTTGCTCAAGCCGAATATCTCATGACCACCTACGATGAATATGTGAATGTCTATCAACTCGATAAATGTTATTACACTGGAAGCAACAAGTATACAAAATACGTTAAAGATGGCAAGAAGGCAAGAATTTTCACATCAAATACATGTGATAATTGGGTTGATGAAGGCTCTTTTGAGCTTGAAAACAATCAATTGTTTTCGAATAACCTTCCAGAATACTCAGCAGTTGCTTATTCAAACATTGATGCGGAACACTGCACCATCAAAGGAAGTGGACCATATCCATTAGAAATGTTAATCAAAACCGGATGTGTCAAAACATCATTTACAACCTCATCGAAATCAGAATTTGTAGATGGGTGGTTCCATAAATACACGTATAATACATCAACCACATGTGCTGGAACTCCAACAAATGTTGTGACCAAGGGACTGGGAATATGCTTTACAGATAAAGAAGGATTGTATTACACAATCAGAGACTCTGCAGCAACATTTTCAATGTTGGTTGCATTGATATTGGCTCTATTAATTTATATAAAAATGAGTCATTTCTTATGTTGTTTACATTTTTAGATATTAATGTATATATCAATTTATAAATTGTTTATTTGTATACCTTTTATTTTATCAGTGGTTTGGATTTTAATTTGTTTTTAAACTTTATATAATTTTTTCAATATTTGTCAATATTATTATTACTAAAAGATTTATATAATTAAATGGACAAAACAATTTGGCAAAAAATTCCTATATTAATAAATTTCATTCAAAAATGAACATTTTTAAATAATTACTGTAAAGTTATAATTGTATTTATTATTTTGATATAAAATACCAATTTTAATATTATAATACAAATCACAGTACACATATTTAAATTGATAAGTATAAACACATTTTATTTGTTATTAATACTTTTTGTATATTGATTTAAAGTATACTACTTATTTTAACTCTATCAAAATTACATCAAAATTTTAAAAATTATATGTTTTAAACATAAAAACTTTTATTATGTTATTGTAATGTTTATTTAAATGTTGTTATTTTTTGAAAATTGCAAATATTTTACACATTTTTTTAATTTAGAATTTTGTGCCTAAAATCAAAAAGGTATACTTTGAAACACATGATTTCAATTAAAAAATTAATTATTAAAACAAGATAAAATAAAAAGAAAACCGAATACAAAAAACAATTAATAAATCAATAACACATAACATGCAAACACGTTTGAGTTTAATTATAGATACTCTTTTTAAAAATCCAATTGTTTAAACCAAGAAAATTAATCCAAAAATAAAATCAACGTGTCGAATTAATGATTTTTACATAATGATGTTTTCAAGAAACTTTCGTTCAATAAAAGACAAAATCTTATTAAAATATATAAAAAGTACAAAAGCAACATGTCAAAAATTCACTTCACCCCAATTTACCTTTATAACCAAACATATTAATATTTTTAACACTTTGAGACTTTGTAATAATGGGTAGTTACTGTTATTAACAATTTTTTATATATAACTGAGACGCGTTCTTTATAATTTAATTTACGAACAAACAACATAATATACGCTTCTATATATAATTTTCATGTTATTGGTCGTCCAACTGCAATACAAAATTTAATTTCAATTTTTAAAAGTGAGTCAAATCATTAAATAATTCGATGATACAATTTCAATGGAACATAAATAATAAATTACAATTTTATTTGAACTTTTTTACAAATCACAACTATTTTAAGCATTGTGTTTATTTTTGCATTGTTATATTCACTTTTACGTTGGAATACTAACAATTTGAATTAAAATGTACATTTTTTTTATTTACTTTCTTGTTCTTTTGACATTTTTATAGTTACATTAAAGATATCTAATTGATTCAGCTTATTTAGCTATTGTCATGACATTTGTGGGTGTGCATCTATCAAATTTTATCTTTTTTAATTGTTATAAGTAATATATAGTCTCTGTATTTTATATATGTTTATCAATGGCTATATATTGCCTTTTAATTTAATTTATTATTCCAATTATGATCAAAAAAATGAATATGAAGTTTTGATGTAAACTTTTTTTGTCATTTAAAATAATTTCGTTTACTTTTAAAAGTACAGATCATCACTTTTTCATTACAATAATTTATCATTATGTTTTTTATTGTTTTGATATATTATAATAAATTGTAATTGTTGTCCAAACTATATTTAATTTAAATAAAAAGTTTACTTATTTTTATATAACATTACAGGAAACTTTTTTATTTGTAACTTTATATTGAGTTGTTAATATTATATTTAACAAATTGAAACAGAGTTTGGTGTATTATTTAAACACTCGGCTCATTATATTTGTGACAATTATGTTTTGTCATTGATGTAAATGCTTACATTTTCAATTTTACAACCAATTGTTAATATTTATTTATTAAAATTGTTATATAATTCAAAGTGTAAAAAAATAAAAAGTGTCAAATGATGAGTCACAAAAACTGAATTAATTCACAGCGTAGATTTATTTCTTCTCCTCCTTCTTTTCAGTGGCAGCAGCCTTTGGTGCGGCTTCCTTTTGTGCAGCAGCAGCTCCCTTTTTCCCTCCCTTCTTTGGCATGTGTTTTAAACAAGTGATTTGAAAGTTGCTGTCTTCCCTTTTATAGAGCAATCGTTATTGTGGATGTTTACCAGCCCTTATTATTATTATACCATTAACCGGGAATCCCAGATGCCACATCACCGCGTTTTTTTGGTGTGCTAGAAACAACAATGACGTGGCGCTTT